TGTTGGCAAACAAATTGGATTATTTGCTCTCAATTTCAATGAGTTGATCGTCTATACAGGCAACAGCCTTTACAGTCTAGAAACTGTGAGTGTTCTTCTTTTAGTGCTACCAGGAATTGAATTAACATTTGTTAATTAAAATGATGCCATTTTGTAGAGAGCCTACAGCCACTGCACACTAATGGCCAAACTAGTTCACAATAGTTCAGCCAATCAGACTGCAGCAGTTGCAATTCTTAAGTGTACAAGTAGACATTTACTAAAAATAATTAGAGGATACCTTTTGCAAGCTGAAATTAATTCACAACTCTTTTCAGGATAAGATACAAAGACATTTGACAGTTGATGATTTCCTTCTCACCTCCTGGTAACTCCGGATAGTATGATGCCTCCATTTGTTTTATGCCATCTGAAGTAAACAACAGCTCTGAGATGCCTTCATTTGTCATAAGCTGAAATGTTTCCACATTGTAAGTTAATTAACTACACTTACTGAAAGAAAAAAAAAAAAAACAGTTAAATCTCTATTAAGTGGCCACCTATCAAGTGGCCACCCCTTATTTCTACTTCCCCTGGATGGGATGCTAGTCCATTGCAGGGTTATATCCCCACCTTTTAGTTTGCCACTACCCATTTATACGCCTGGGTGAAGAGAGGCACTGTGAAAGTAAATGTCTTCCACAAGAACACAACACAATGTCCCCGGCTAGGGCTCGAAACCAGACCAACCAATCCAGCGATGAGCACACTGACAAAGCCTCCACATTCGAAAAATAGAGCTCTCTAAATAAGGTGGAAGAATTCATTCTAAATAGGCCTGCATCATTTCCACCCAATATCATTCTTTCATCTGAGTCTATCCGGGGCATAAAACTAAAGAAAACCTCCAAGAAGACCTCCCAAAAAAGCAATAACTGGGATTAGTCGCTGACAAATTAACTTTATGCAAATTGCTTTCTTAAAGTCGCATTATTTATAGCTAAAATTGCTCACTGTTTTGAGATAAGCCATGTATTCTTTGCTGAGATCATGTTCTCCATAGCTTCCATATTCATTTTCTACTTGAAATGCTATTATTGGACCACCAAGAGAGTACTGAAAAACAAGCAAACAAAACCACACAACAGTGACACTCCAGAATAACACAAGCTGTGTCACTTAAAGAAAGGGTTGTTATGCATGTTCAGAGGTATAGCTTGTATGCTTCAGATGAAATGTTCTAATTACGGAACATTAGCATGGTTGTTTCCCAATAGGATTGGGCTAACCATGAAGGTTACATAATGACTGATTTCCTACTAATAACAAAATAATTTAAGGCAAAATATTTTCTACCACTAAAACAAAGCAAAAATTACCTGTAAAGGAACAAGTATTGGGAGAAGTTTCTTGAAATATTTCTCAACGGCATGAATGTATCCAGGATACATAGACCTAAGCTTCATTTTGGGATCACGTAAGAGCCAGCTATATTTAGGAGAACAGAGTATACAAAATATTTGAACAAAAAGCTGAAAACAAAGTTTC